CCATGCTCTCATTCTGCTAACATTCTATTTTACTAATCACATTCATAATTATCAATTCAGGTTTTTTAACATTTGGACTCTTGACCCTACTTATAAGAAATTGGTTAAAGATCATTAAAGGTGTGAGTTGAATGGTGATGATGAGTTCAAATTGTGGAGACTTCAAATAAATGTGGCTCCAATTCTTAAATTTTGGAATTGGGAAGTGCTTGGTAATCTTCATATTGTGATTCAGAATGTTGAAAGCAAAGTCAAAAGTTAAAGATGGATTATTGCAATGATTTGATTAATCACAATATTTTTCTAGCTAGATAAGAGAAATTGGTTTAGGTTGTTATCATGCAGAAATTTTTCTATAGCTAAAAGGTTGTGTGATAATTCATTTTGAGAAACTAGGTAAAATTTTTTTATGACTTAAAATGTACCCCAAATTGTGTATCCCTCACTTTTCAACAAAATTAAATTTATAAAATTCTATGTGTCAATATGATCAATTATATATATAACAATATATATAAATTTTGAATGGAATGTCCTTAATCCCAGCTTATTGTAGCCACAATGTTACTTATGATATTTAGTGTGGTTTTTGATAGAATGGGGGGCTATCTTCAAAGCCTTTGATTTTATCTTCTTACTCTCAGTTTTGCTCGCATTAAACCACTCTCCCTGTTCTTGATTTCACTCGGTTGAAGCCACCCGCAAGCTTCAGTGTGATCCTGCATTGTAAAAGAATCGCGATCTATAGTAGGCAAGCGACCCACCGAGAGCTACAACTCTCTATTAAGACTTTAGGATGAAACAGATGATTGTGAAACTTTTTTTTTACACTATTTTAGACATTTTGTTTCTTCCTTGCATTCTCATTTTGACGATTGCCATGATCATGCATCTTTTTTTTTTGTTTTTGGCCGCCATAACGGAGGCGAGCTTGTGTTGGAAGCGAAGAATTTGGTCCGTGGATTTCTGTATGGTATTTTATCAAGAAATGAATGAAGTAAAAGGGGGACTAAAGGAATAGAAGAAAGAAGAAAGAAGTATTGGCAGTATCAAAAGGTTGAGTTATGTTGGGAAGCTCATTTTAAATTCTTTTAGACAAATCAATTTGTTAGTGTTAAATCATTTTGTGAGCTATGATATTATAAAATCCTAAGATATTTACAGATTTTAGGTTATTTATACGAGGCGACGAGCTTGAGGCGAGAGTGTGGAAATCCACCGTAGGGCTGCTCCATCAATATCAGGTTATTAATATCATCATAAACGTTATCGCAATGCCCAACTAGTTACTGATGATTGAGAATCTAACATGGAAACAGAGGTGATTAATTATATTTCTTTAGTAATTTTCTTTTTCAAAATGTTTGTTTGACTTTATGTGTGTTCTAGTTCAGTTGGATTTAAATTATAATAGATTTTTTAAATTGTTAGATAGAAAATATATGAATGAAAGAGAAGATAGCAAGATATGCATGAAATATATGTTTAAGATGCTTGATATGTATAATGTACATGATATGTATAATGCACATGATATGTAAGATGGACATGATATGAAAGATATGCATGATAAACAGTTGCATATTATAATAAGTATTCATGTTAGTTAATGAATGAAGATGTCACAAAATTATGTATGTTTTAATAATGAAATTATATATATATATATATATTAAACGACATGTCTTCGTTCTCGTTCTGCTAGGGTTTCGTCTCACGATAAACCCTAGCCTTTGTTATGACATTTTTTCGTTCCTCTGTTTTTGAAAAGCTTCGTCGAGTTGCTCGTGGCCCCGATCGCGGTTCGTCGAGCTTCTTCATTTGCAAGCTTCGATGACGTTGATTGCGCACTCACAGATGACGACAGACGTTGCCTCTACTTTCGTCGTCTGCTTCTGTGGCGTCTTCTTGCCGCTTTCTGCGTGCGGTCTTCTTGCAGTCAAGTTGCGATAGTTCTGGCAGTCGGCAACATTCCTCTTGTGCGCAGCTTTGCTCCAGACAAACTGAACCCGACAGCGCCAAAAGCTTCCTCGCTTATCTTGTGAGGGAGATGACCTTGACACTCCGTTCGTATGCAAATGCCCTTACCGGCAACTTGCCTATTCCTGCTAGTGCCTCTCCTTCAGGTTCAGAGTCTACTTTTACAATCGGTAAGTCCTGCAATGTTCCACAATCGTACCACGAGGCTATTGAAGGTGGCGGTGATCACTTTTATTAAAAAACTTGGAAATAAAATAGGAAGTCTGCACTTATTCTCACTAAGGTTGAAACTGGTACTCTAGCGTCCTCTTAGCGTTTTGCTCTAGTGGGGAAATTCCTTTATGGTCTTCCAAAACTGGAGATCATTAGGAAAGGATTTGATGCTATGAAACTATTGGGCAGTTGAAACATTGGTCTGCTAGATGGTCGACATATACTTATTCAGCTATCTCGCGATGTCGATTACACTTGCATTTTCTCTCGAAAAATTATCGAGATCGACGATCGTTTTATGAAAATTCTTAAGTGGACTTTTGATTTTGATCCAAAAGCGGATCCCCCTATCATTTTAATTTGGATAAAGTTTCCAGGGTTAAAATTACATCTGTTCAACATGGAAATCCTCTACTCTTTAGCAACTGCTTACGATAAGCCTCTCAAGGTGGATAGTCCTACGCTTGCTGTCACCAGACCCTCTCTGACTTCTGTGTTAGTTGAGAGAGATATCACTCAACCAGCTTCGGATGATATATGGATTGTCACTATTCACAACGGGCATTGGCAAAAGGTTGAGATAGAATCACATCCTCCTTATTGTTGTCATTATAGTATGTTTGGTCACAGTTCTACTATTTGTTATAGCTTGCATCCTCATCTAAGACCGAATGTCGCTAAAGATCAACCACCTACCATCTTTGCTGAGAAGGTCCAATCTGATCATCTTTCCAATATTGCAGTTCTAGATGAAGAACACCTTACTACAAGTACAGATCCAAATGTGTTGATACCACTTATTGTTATTGAAAAAAAACTCACTTACACGTCAAAACACACGAGAGTGTTGCTTCGATCCGATAAAAGATCAGCTGGTATAACAAGTAGTTGCTTCTAATACTCAACAACATACACATATCCTGCACACTTCAGACCATTCTGCTGATCAGACGAGCCAATCTTCAGATGAGGAATGTCAGGTCTATATGAGGAGGAAGAAAAAGAACGGAGGACGACTCGAGCTAGGGAATCTATTGGATGATACATTGGTTACTACTGACAATGACACTCATCTGACCAATTTATTAGCTGGCTCCTTCCCTAGAACTAGAGGCAGAGGCAAGGCAAAATCGGATCGCTCTCCAGCTACCTGATACTCTAATTTTGGCACTTTTAGTTTTTTATTTAGATCTCTTATGTATTTTATTGTATTTTCTCTTTTATTTGGAACCATTTGATTTGGTAGCTTTGTGTGGGTTGGGTGCCATGTTTGAGATCTTCCACAAAATCTATGTGTATCCTTCTTTTTATTTAAATATATTAGCCTTTGGGCAATATATATATATATATATATATATATATAAATGTTTGTATATGCATGCTAAGATAAGAAGTTCATCCCTTAATGTTACCATTAAAGAACACTAGTATACCACACGTGTGTTTTTTCTACTACCTTATACAATTGTGATGTTTCGATCACTAATTATTATGCTGCTGAGAGAATATCGGTCAAAAACAAGTAGCCAGAGCTTACCTCCCCAAATAATTTTAATGCTTAGATTGCTAACTACTATGTTGGCAGGAGAATATCGGTCAGGGGCATGTAAGAGTCATTCCACCCCCAAACAATTGTTATATTTAGATCGCTAATTAACATGTTTATTGAATAATATTGGTCAGGGGTGTGTTCAGTTATTTTTATGATGTTCCTTATAAAGACAAGTGTATATTTAAAGAGTACAAGGCAAAAGTAAAGTTAAAATAAATTCATATAAAAGATTAGAGTATTTACATTGAGTAAAGGTCACCGATACAAGCATTAGAGTATTCAAAAATTTCTGACAGAAATCTTAAAGATTAACATATTCCAGGATTTCTTATAGAGATATGAATGACATGTATATTGATTTCTTTTCATTGGATTGTTGTAGTCTATATGTGTGATTATTCTTAGATAATCTTTGATAACGCGTTATGTTGTTTTAAGATTTCTTTTATGTTTTAAGGGTTTGAAGAAGATGAATGGTAGATAAGCTAATGTGTACAGGAGGAGAGATAAACAACCAAAAAGTTAAAAACTTCTATTTGCTAAATTAATTGCTTTCTTCAGCGACTCTTTAACGAATTTTTTTATATTAAATTGTTAGTGATAGAAATATAATAGCAGAGAATTTATTTCTACTGTCCAATCTTTTATTACCTTCTTGATTAATTTCATGCCGAGTTGGATCGTGACAAAAAGGGCATTAGAGCAAATGTTTAAATTAAACGACATGAATCTTAATGAAAAAGTCAAATAAGATGTGTGAATTAAATGACATATAATAAAAATTAAAATTTTAATTGTGTCTAATTAAATTAATTTATTGTTATTTTAGAATTATAGATGATCGAGAGGAAGTGGTCGAAAATGATAATGTAAAATATGTTATACTTTTGAACATCTCAATGAATACAAATGCTTTTGTTGAAATAATGACAACAATGACTCAAATGATTAAAAATTTTCAACGTCAAACCATAAAAAATAAAAAAAATACTCAAATTAAACATTGTTTATTCGAGCAGTTTGTTCGTTCAAGGATAAACAGTTTATCTTAAAACGCAGCCCGTGGGTCAACCCGCGACCTGCGTTTAGTATAAAAACTAAAATTTGACAGATAATATTTTAAAAAACGTGTAAATCAAATAATTAGACAATACTTTTAAAAATACCGCCACACATATAAACTGTTCCAATCAATTTTCTCGGTGAAGCTGCGTTGCTTTCTGTAGTCTAGCGGAGCGACCCCTTCATCGGACGAACATTCGCTCACCACGTGGCGTCACGATGACCGTTCGCTCAAAAAGGTCCCTGCTTCATTAAATTGGGCCCCACCTGAACGGTTGAAAGAGGATGAGCGGCTGCAATTGGCAAGCAATCCATGACACGCTGAAACGCAGCTCCTTATCTCCCTGCCCCTCCTCTTCTACTCCTAGAGAGAGAAAGTAGAGAGGGAGGGAGAGACGCAACTCCTTATCTTCAACTTTAGCTCCCATTCTCGCTCCTCTGCTCTTCTACTTCTAGAGAGACAGAGAGAGAGAAACACAACTCCTTATCTTCATCTTCAACTCTATCTCCCATTCTCTCACCTCTCCTCCTCTACTCCTAGAGAGAGAAAGAGAGAGAAAGTAGTGAGAGAGTGAAACCCAACTCCTTATTTTCATCTTCAACTCCACCTCCCATTCTCTCCCCTCTCCTCCTCTACTCCTAGAGAGAGAAAGAGAGAGAAAGTAGTGAGAGAGTGAAACCCAACTCCTTGTTTTCATCTTCAACTCTACCTCCCATTCTCTCTCCTCTCCTCTACACCTAGAGAGAGAAAGAGAGATAGAGATAGAGATAGAGATAGAGATAGAGATAGAGAGAGAGAGATGGCTCCCAAAGCTGGCCGGGGCAGGGGAAACAAAGGCAAAGGCGACAAGAAGAAAAAAGATGAAAAAGGTAATTATTTCTCTAATTTCTATTATTTTATTTATCTATCTCCTTTTTTTTAGTGTTTTTCTTTTATTTTTTAAATATAATTTATTTATTTATTTGCAGTAATTCCTAGCGTCATTGATATAACCGTAGTAACTCCATACGAGAGCAGAACTACTCTAAAGGTAAACTTCCATTTTAGTACCAATACATTTTACTTTTTACATTTTTGTACCTTTATTTTAGCAGCTTATTTACACTTCAGCCCCTCCAAGTTTGAGAGTGTAATTGCAGGGATTGTCCCCTGATAAGATAATAGACGTGCGGAAGCTATTGGGTTCAAATGTGGAGACTTGTCACATAACCAATTACTCTCTCTCCCACGAGGTAATTTTTTACATTTTTCAGGGGCAATTATGAAATTTGATATTTACAAATCCACCCCTCTCTCTCTCTCATCTATTTTTCAAATTCTCGCTCCGATATTAAACTTCATGGTAAAATTTCAACCCATATTTTTCATTTTTTATCAAGTTATCAATAGTTTGCGTACATACACCGGTTATGTGTAGGGGTGTAAACGAACCAAACACTGATGAACAGAGCTCGTATTTGTGTTTGGTTCGTTTGAAATTAATTGTGTTTGAAATAGGCTTGTGTTCGAAGTTGTTCGTTAAACATTCATGGTAAAATTCCAACCCATATTTTTCATTTTTTTATCAAGTTATCAATAGTTTGCGTACATACATCGGTTATGTGTAGGGGTGTAAACGAACCGAACATTGATGAACATAGCTCGTATTCGTGTTTGGTTCGTTTGAAATTAATTGTGTTTGAAATAGGTTTGTGTTCGAAGTTGTTCGTTAAACATGATCTGTTCGAATTGTTCGAAATATTTGAATTATTTGAAAATATTAAGATTTCTTTGCATATTTGAATTGCTAAAATATTATAATATTTATATTAATATAATTAATACTGATATATTATTATTGTTATCAATAATTTATTATACATTATAATTTATAGAATTTAATTATTTAAAATATGATTAATTTTTATAAGAAATAATTATTTTTAAAATATCATTAATTATTTATATAAAACTATTTTAAATTATTTTATATTTCGAACAATAACGAATCGAACACCAACGAACAGATCACTGTTCATGTTTGGTTCGTTTAATAAATCAAACACGTGCGAACCGAACACGAACTGTTTGCGAACAACGAATTTTTTTTGACAGCCTTAGATATGTGAGTGATTAATTGGTAAATATGAATGCTTTTTGGTAGGGCCGGGGGCATCAATTAAAGGATGGCGTGGAAATCGTGTCTCTTAAGCCTTGTGTGCTACGAATGGTGGAAGGTAGGTGGTTGGGGCCTCTCTCTTAATTATTATAACTAATAAAAGTATTTTTGGTTATATTTAATGCACCCTTTTTTGGTGATCTTAATTTGTAGCTCCAAAAATAGATTTGAATTAAATTTTAATTTATAAATATTGATTTAAAAATTCAATAGATTTATCTTTTTAATTTATTGATGTATAACTAGAATATATATGTTCTTTCAATGAAATGGTATACAAATGTTGTTGAAACTAGACATAGACGTTGGGCGGGTAACCCAATAGGCTTGCCATAAGCCGGCGGGCTATGAGCGAGCTTGGCTGTAAAAAAACTAGAAATCTGGCACAGCTCGCACTAACTTAGGGTCTATTTGGGGTAGCTTATAAGTGCGGGCGGCGTTTTCAAAAAACCGCCGTACCGTTTGGTTCGCACCTGCCAGCTTATCTGAAACTGCGTTTGGGTTTTTACATTAAACACAAGCCACGGGTCGACCCTCGCAGTCGGCTTGCGGGCCGCGTTTCAGGATAAGCAACTTATCCTGAAACGCACAAGCTGCCCCAAACGAACCCTTAGTCAAAGCCGAAGCAACCAAACGTGGCCCGCACGTATAGAGCCTGGCCCACCTCAACTCTCAACGCACAAGCTGCCCCAAACGGACCCTTAGTCAAAGCTGAAGCAACCAAACGCGGCCCGCACGTATAGAGCTTGGCCCACCTCAACTCTTCTCTCTTGCAATCCGTAAAACCAACCCAAGAACCCTCTTTCCATTAACTCTCAGCCCGAGAGCACTCTCCTCTCTCCACTATTCTCTAAGCCGGGAGATCTAAGAGCAGCTTTCTTCCCCATACCAGCTATTCGCTTTAACCCAAGCTCCCAAACCATTAACTCTCCCAACCGTGAACTTCTTAAACTCCTTCTCTCTCCACCCCATGAACGACCTCCACATCTCCTTCTCTCTCTTATATATTCTTCCAACCTCTCTCACTAATCAGAAAACAAAAAGCCTCCTCTACTCAAACCAAGCAAAGTAGATTCTCTCTCTATCTATTTTACATTTTTACATGCATGCCACATGCTTCTTAGGTATTTAAATGTACACTACTCAAACTTTATGTATTTCCATGCATAACATCATATTCTTATATATTCAAATGCACGCTACTCAAACTTTATGAAGTTCTAACTAGAAACGGGCCCAATCGTGACTCAAACCCCGTTTGATTGGTCAAAAGTCTGGATAAGCCTGACCCACGCCAAGCCCGACCCGCCCAATACGCATGCTATTTTTTTCTAGTATTGTGAGTGTGCATAAAAGATGGAAGATATGGACAATGTCTAGGAATAAATCTATTAGGATCTTACTTTTGAATCTTTGGAGGGAGACACTTGGATTGGACTATTGAGGATGCTACTTTTGAAATATTAAGGACACACGTTTCCTAAGTGAAGTTATTAAGTTCTTACATTATCACAATCTCTTAAGAAAGATATGCATACTTTACAATATCTAATGGGAACATTTCTTGATATATATGGAGTTATTCATACTTCATAATATCTTCAAGGAGATGCCTATTGACAGATTGTGTGGTGAAGGGTGAAATGCAGGGAGATAATATATATGAGTGCTCATGAGAAAATGTTTAGATATAGTTATGTTGTATCCAAGTCTATCTGGGATGCATGCCTAAGGAATAAAATGTTGGGGGAATGGTAGAGAGAGGGAGGAGAGTAATAATACAATAATTAATGATAAATTTACGTAACCTTTGTTTATGAAATTGATCATCTATTTATAAGAATGAGTTTTTTTTACATTTACACGATGGATCCCTAAACTACGCCTGTACGACGAGGGCCTTCTAGTTCATACATGAATATTACCCATGGGACCCATGGGTATGGCCGGAAGACTATGAGCCCGGGTGGCCATGAGGTCGGGTGCCTGTTTGTTGAAGGCCCACATCAACTCCCTTGGAAGTGGCACGATTTACCACTCATCCTTCCGAGATGTGCCGCCTTTCTGGTACATGGGACTGAACGACTGTGCTTGCGGTCCCATGTCATCCAAGGTAGATCCAGCGGGGCCACGTCACCTTCACCATCCACGAGATGTCTATGTGATTCATGTTGACTTATTTTTTATGCCCATGTTCTCATTATTATTTTGTTGGAAGAGCCACCTAGCTTAACAAGTAGGAGGGCTGCCAAGCCATTTATAAACCTATGATCACCAAGTTCTAGCTTCAAAAAAGAACAATGTCTGACAAATTTAGATTCATTTTCAACTCTAATATCAAAAAGTATGTGAATATATAAGCCGAAGTTTGTAGTGAAAAATGACTATGTTTGGTGTTAATTCATCTAACACCTAAAAATTCATATTTACATGCATATCACTTAAATGGCTAATATCTTATGAAAATTATCACAATCAGCACATTTTTAAAAGTGAAAATCAAACTTTGGTTGTTAGATAGGGTTATGTTTGCAAATTTCCCTTTTTAAGGAGCATTTACGTTAGGGTGTCAATTCGGGTCGATGAGTAAGGTTCGGATTCTACCCGAAAATGACCAACCCGAATACAGGTCAATTTGAACCCGACCTGAATAAGAAACGCGTCAAATTCTCAGACTTGAACTCGACTCGAAAAATATTCGGGTCAACCTGAATCCGGATATTTTCGAGTCGAGTTCGAGTCGTGTTGACCTGTATTCAAATATATATATATACAACCCAATTCCTATTATAAATTAAAATTTCGGCGTTAGGCATGTAATCCATTGTAATTAAGTGGAATATATGTAAATCTTCCCTTATTTTAAAAATTAAAACTTTCGCACTTACAGAGGACTATGTGACGGAAGCGCAAGCCTTTGCACAAGTTCGAAGATTGCTGGACATCGTCGCTTGCACGACTTTCTTTGCGAGGCACCGGAACAGGAATGGTGGCTGCAAGGGCCGGAAGCAGGCGGCGGCTCCGCCCTACTCCGTCTCTCCAGCAGTCTCTTCGGCTGCTTCAATTTCCGTCAACGATGAATCCCAGGAGCTTGCCGTTCCCCCCTTCTCCGTCATGTTTGACATGGCTGCAATCCAACCACCGCCGAAGCTCGGCGATTTCTATGATTTCTTCTCCTTCTCCAACCTAACCTCTCCCATCCAATGTATATTCTCTCTCTCTCTTTTTCTCTCTTTGTCTCTTTGCATCTCTCCCCTCTGTTTTTTTTAAGGATTATGTTTCCCTTGCGAAGTTATAAGGAGGTGCGAAGGGGATGGGAAGAGGCGAGAAGGTGACCACTTTGAGATCGAGGTGAGAATTTACTTCATAAAGTTAATTCATTATCTATAAACGACCTCCTTTTGTTAATGCCGCGAAAGTGCTCGACGAAATTTCTCAGAGGGAATAGAAAGTTTGAGCTCTGCCCTGAAAGGGGTTTTGGAGGATTATTACTTTAAGAAATGCTGCTGTTTTGTAGCATGGGTGGGAGACGGATAAAATTGATGGTTTTATACAGGTCAAAGTTTGTAATGGAAAATTACTACGTGTGGTGGCTGGATTTAAAGGTTTCTACACTACTGGGAAGCACTTCGTTGAAAGCCATTCACTTGTAGATCTACTGCTCCAGCGCAGCAGGGCATTTGCGAATGTGGGTGAACTTAATTCTATTTTGTATATGTGCTGCATTTTTGGTCTATTAAATTCTATTTCTTCATTGAATGTATTAATGTTGATTCGATCTTACGGTAGTATGATGATAAAATGCAGGCCTATGATTCCCTGATGAAAGCTTTTGTAGACCATAACAAGGTGTTTTTTCAATCCATTCATCTAGTACTCTTTGCATTGCATGTTGAATATACACTCAGATGGTATTTATTATTTCTGAAGATTTAAATTTTTCTTCTTCTTTGTCAGTTTGGAAATCTACCATATGGGTTTCGGGCAAACACTTGGCTTGTGCCTCCAGTGTTTACTGAGTCTCCTTTTAAATGTCCCTCGTTACCTGCTGAAGATCTCATGTGGGGAGGAAATGTTCTTGCAGGGAGATCTGACCACAGAAAATGGTCAAAAGATTTTTCAACTTTGGCTGCATTTTCAAGCAGAACTGAAGAAGAGAGACTGGTTCGAGACCGCAAAGCTTTTTTGCTTCACAATCTATTTGTGGAGACTGCACTTTTGAAAGCTGATTCAGCAATTCGAAAGTTTATTGACGCCAATTCAGGTGCTTGCTATGGCGATTTGCATGGGTCTGTCTTGTATGAAGAAAATGTAGGAGACCTGAATATAGTTGTAAGAAAGGACATTCCTGATGCTAGTAGAAAACTAGGGGAGAAGATTGATGGGAGTCAAATGCTGAATATTTCTGAAGAAGAGCTTGCAATAAGGAATATTCTCAAAGGTCTGACAGCTACTGAGAGTGTTTTTGTCAATGTATGAATGCAATTTCTTCTAAATTTCTTGTTTTTTTTAACTTGGTATCACCATTCTTATTGAGAAATGACAGAATCATTTATGTGTAGGATACAGCCACATTGGGCATGGTCATTGTAAGACATTGTGGATATACTGCAACTGTTAAAGTGTTACAGTGTGTGGATCACAATGATTACATGCAACATGTTTTTGAGATTGCAGACCAACCAGAAGGTGGTTCTAATTCTTTGAATGTTAACAGGTTTGATTTTTCTAGAATCATTGTTTATGCTCATGCATTTATATTCATGAAGGGTCTGTGAATTGCAGAATATTGTTTAGAAATTGTTGAACACTGGGCTTTTACACTAATAGACTATATAAGAACCATAAACCATAGCAGATTCGTTCATTGTTTCCTGTTCAAATACTCTTCATGCCAGCGAACTACAACCTTTAATTTAGTTCTTATTTTGAACTAAACGGTCCACAAATCTTTATGCAGCTTTAGAGTATTGCTACACAAATTGCCTAACAATGAATCAATTGTGAGATGTCTGTCTTCTTGTAATGATTATGATGAAGTAAGCGATGGAAGGTGCTTAGCACACAGAATAATTAGTGATAGTTTATACAATCTAGAGAAGGTTGTTGGTTGCACTGAGAAGGCATTCAGATGGGAACTTGGAGCTTGCTGGCTTCAGCACTTGCAGAAAAATAAGAATTCAGCAACTGAGGGGAATAATGAAAATGAGGAAGATAATTTTGTTGAACCGATTGTTAAAGGTTTTGGAAAGCAATTTGAGCAGTTGAAGAGGATAAGAAAGAAAAAGGACGCCCTCCATTGCAGGCCTATCAAGGAAGATTCTAATGTCAATGACGCCCAACCAGGAGAAATCCACAATACTGAGAAACTACAACTAGAAGGAAATGAGAACTATGAATTGAAGAAACGGCTAACAGATGATGCTTTTAATTTCTTGAAAGATTCAGGCACTGGCCTTCACCAAAAGGTGAGCTTTTAAATGTTAACTGCACTCGGTCTCTTTCATTAGTAGCTTGCTATTTCTTGTGCATTTCCATTTGACTAGCTAGTAGCCCATGTGAATTCACTGGTGATATGATTAGGCTAAAATTTTCTTAAAAACAAGAATTATATTTCTAAAAGGTATTGAAAAAATTTAGTAAAGTTATTATATGATATTTTTTAAAACAAAGTCAGTTTACACAGATAAAATTACTTATACAATATAAAATTAAATAATCATGGCTTCATAATTCATAGATTGCTATACACATTATTTAGCAGATGATTATAGTTCTTATGATGTTTTTGTTATACGCACTATTAAAAAAATGAGGAGAAAGGAAAAAACATAAAATGATTTTAAATTGCTCCAATTGGTGTTTAATTAATTATAATAAAATTTTACTGTAAATTGTCATTGTAATATTGACTATTTTATTTATATCATAAGTCAAATTTTATTTGTATATGATGTTATAAGTTCCATATATGCATTTAATGTTATACATAACGTATTGTATACTTAATTAATTTCCTTATTATATTTTAGTAAACGACTTTAAATAAGCAATTAGATTTTATTTATTCATGTTTTAGACAGCACTTTATATTAATGTGATTTCTTAGTAATGCATTTCCGAGTTTTTTAGCAAATAATTTAATTTATAGTAAAGGCGAGTGCATCCCCTCCAGTTGATTGTGTTATTTATACAAGTAGACATGCGATGATTTACTTGTTATTTCATGGATCAAAGATAAAAATTTGACCCATCATAACTACATATAAGCTTTTTCATAATTTTTGGGTTTACTTTGAGATTGTTTACATCATCCTAAGGGCTATATAAATTAATCATAACAATGCAAATCTCCACTTAGCCGATATTGATTCAAACTAGCCTAGCTTAAGTTATGTTTCACTTATAGGCATGTAGATGATTCATGGTATGAAATCATCGGTAAATGAGGCTGAAAATGTATGAAAATTTGATGTTTTCATCATCAAATCTTGACGTTATTTTTGAAGGGAGATGTTGCTATCTAATGCTGAAGAAGCTCTAAGAACAATGATAAATATAAGAGCCAATAAGCTTAAAACTAGAATTTGTAAAGAAATTCTCAAAATGAAGTAATGCAATTATGTCCACGAGATATGAAGGTGTTGAAGGGATTATTTCTGTTATGAGTGAGAGCATTAAACTATTTAGATCTCAAATATATTGATGCCTCTAGACATTAGCATATGAACTTAAGTAAACAAATGAAGGAAAATATGATTGATTACACAACTTTGATACTGATGATTGAAAGCTGCAATACTAAGGATAAGGAGATTATTAGGTACAACTTAAAAAACTTTATTACAATAGTAAAAGAATGAGACTATTCAATCATTGCATAATCATATTAATCAAAGAAGTGCAAGTAATTAAATCTATCCTTAAAGAAAGAGGCGACAATAATTTTTATTTGATTTAGACTAATCCGGTCTACATTTATGCTTAACCATCGACTCATTTCAGATTCCACCACCAACCACTATTTCACTTGCAAGCCATTGAAGACTTCTTTGCCTGCAAGCCAATGAAGAAACAACTACACTTTCACAAAGAAAGAGCACCATCACCTCGATTGTAGACATACACACCTCTCTATGCTAACGCTTAGCAATACGTTATGTGAAATGATGAGGAAACCTTCCAAAGTTTCTTAGACTTTGTTCCCAAACCCAGAGGCAGAACCGGGGGGGGGGGGGGGGGGGGGGGGAAATAATTAAATTTTTTTATCATCGTAATTAAAATTTAAATTTTTAGAAAATTTAATCTAACATCTTTAATATGATTTTAAAATCAATGGTTTTTCGATGTTCAAAAGGGCATAGCTTTTTGATTTGTCGGTAATCTAAAAACGACGGCATTTTTTATTATGATTTTTTTCGTTTACCAACTTGCCGACGACTATAACCTGTGGGTTAATGTTAAAAGTATAATTGCTGATTAGCAGTTGGTTATCATTTAAAATACAAAATTCATGCCATAGTAATTTTTAAAATGTTGAAAAATTTAATGTGATATGGTAAGTTCAAAATTAAAAAAAAAAAATTCTTTTTTTTAAATATTCCATAAAAAATAAAAATAAATGCTGTAAGAACCTCAAAATCGATTGCAATTTCCTGTTTGCTCCATCTTCCTCTCCGGCATGAGATCCTCGGATATAGTTGGCTGCTTTTCCTATGAGAACTCATTGCCCACTGTATATTCAGCTCCTTACCCAAACTCCACTTTTTAACCTCCTGACTCCAATCCCAATATTTTCTTCTCTCCATTGGAAATTGACCATGCAGAGCCTCTTATTGAGTGAGGCCAAATGGAATTGGCAGCCCGACAGGGGCCAAGCCTTTATTTTAAGGATTTTTTAAAAACTTGCTGCATATCTTATAAGGATTTAACTATTATTCTTTGAGAATCCATTGTCTTTTTAGATGAAATTATTCTATGATCAACTATGAAGTCATACTAACTATGAGTCTCATATGTAACAGTATGATTGATCAATGAGAAGAAAAATAAATCACAAGATATTATAAAAATTGTCATACTATAACATGTTAACATTAATTGAATCACAAACATGATTAAATATATTCAATTTAGAGGCAGAAAATACTACTTCAATTAAAAATATAAACGGCGATCTCAAGTTCTTGAAATCTAATTTAAATTTCTACCCTTTAAATCAATATGACATCAACCAAATCTTATAAATCAAACATCATATTCAAATGCAAGATACTTATAGAAAATTAGATAAATTCCAAATACATAAATGCATCTATTCCTTCTTAATACTTAAATTACTATTTACTTCACTTTTATAGGCAAGCAATCACTTATAATCTTCATAGTCCCATTTTCTCGGGGAATATCAAGTTATTCTCTACTACAAAATCAATTTCTTGAAACTATTTAAATATTTTGATTATTGGTATTAATATTTAATTTTAAATAGTCTATTTCTAAAATATAGATATTACTTATTAGTATTTTTGTGTTATTGAAACTTAAATTTCATTTGCAAATTTTCATTTATAATCATATAATCAAGAAAATTTGGTTTATCATATAATCATATTTTCATTCTTCATTTATAATTATAAAACATATATAATTGTAACAATAAACCATAATTTTGTAACACAATTTTTCATTTAAACTTCTATGCTTTAGCATGCTTAAATCTTAAGAAAAGTTAACCACTATCTATATGAATAGCAATAATAATTTTTATTCTATAAAAAGTTAGGTTGAGCTCATACATTTAATAATTTTTTGTGTTAAACCAAATCAAGTTGTCTTTATGAAAAGAGCAAAGAAGTTTAAAATTAAATTTAGGTTTTCCTTCCAACAACCAAACAAAGGAGAAGAAACACTAAATATCTCTCTCTCTGTTTCAAACACATGCTTATTTCCAAGGATTCTTCAATCCCATCAAAAGATATTTTCATTTGCAAATTCTAAGTTTATAAGTAAAGATTTCTTAATAAAATTTACCTTTGAGCTTGAAGAAAAATTTTTAGCCTTCTCTTGAATCCTCACTTGATTTGAATTAAAGCTCTAACACTCATTTTGCTTGTATAAATTTTGGCTCTTTGGTCAAAACCATTGGCAAGCTCTCGATCTTGTGCTCTCACTTGGTCTAGGTTGCCATGTCCTCATCAGCTCATTCTCGATCTTATACCCGACCTGCTCCTGTTTCAGTGTTTGTCACAGTCACGACATACATGTGCCTTCAACTATGAGCATGGGCATGGATACAGGGACATGGATGCAACACGACACAATTGAAAAAAAATAAGACACGGCATAATTGAAAAAAATAGGACACAACATGTCATTGACACGTTTTTATATTTAATTAATTATTAATATAAAAAATTTATATTTTTTCATTATTTTTTGTTAGACATCATAAAGTAGTATGCAAGAATAAAATTCGACAAACAAAAAGAGAACTACTGATGTTCGTCTTTGAAGAATACTGGATGCACATTCAAAGCTAGATTTTGATGAATGTTAGTGGGAGATTTGACATGATGAGAGAGGATGGGACTTTAACTATGAGGTATAATTAGGCCTCTATGTACATTTATAGTTTTCTACTTCTCGCATCTAATTTTTTTCTCAAATTATGTCGAGCTCATGCCTGATGCTGCGTCGATGCGTGTCCTGGCCGTATTTGAGCCACTAAAAATTCTAGTTTGTAGTGCTAGAAAAGTGTTGAGTGTAGGTGTTCAATTTTCTTGACACCTGTATGACACATTTTTAGAAGTGTCTGTGCTGGATAGGCCTTCAACATGTTGGTGTGCTTCTCTCTTGCTAGCTCATCTTCTCCACTTGTTGAATGTTGCTCGAGGGCTGCCCCTCCGACTTCCTCTCTCTGCTTCTCTAGCTTTCTTTGTCTCTCTCTTATGTTCTCTATATTGATGACTAGAAGCCACTCAAGATGTTCATCTTTATTATTAATAACAAATCAACTAAGAGTTCGTTTGGGGCAGCTTATTTGGTGCGGCGGCGTTTTGAAAACGCACCTGAATTGTTTGGGTAAACTGCGTTTTTACAGCTTATGCGCTTTCAAAATACTGAAAACAGCGTTTTCACAACGCACCTATCTAGGTGTGGGGACAGCTTTCTGGCAATTGTCAGTCTTCTCCAAAATACTAAAAATTTGTAATAGTCACCGCTTCTAACTTATTTGCAGATTATTCAATAAGTTGCAGTTGCCCCAAACAGACCCTAAAGTCAGTTCAATTTAACTAAGCACAAGTTGTTCCAAATTATTTTTTTTAAACACCTTCAATTTAAAATTTCTAAATGAATTTTGTTATTTGAATTATGATTAGTTAACTCAAATTAATAATTGATATTTAATTAGTTTAAAATTAAGATTGTTACATTAACACATACTTATAAAATTTTGTCCTTGAAATTTGTATTTATCTCATATTATACTTGATTAGCTTGAGCCATGCTTCACAAAATAATCATGAAGCATTAAAGCTAAATACTTTTAAAGCCAAATATCATTAACTTAAAGACATACAAGCATAAATGACTAACATTAAATATAACTTGATAAGTCAAAATATTTGATATAAAGAAGCAAGTTGTTTATATTTTTTAATTACATGTGATCACTCTTTTTCACCATCAACATCAACAATACTTAGTTCTTCAATGACTTAAGGCATGGACTTTACGTCGAATATTTTATGTTGCTTGATTTTTATCATGGATCACTGCACTAGATCCTTACACCTACTGCTGGTCACTTCTAATTAAAGGTTCATCCTGAAAACTCCTCTGAGCTTAATTATTTCCTTATCTAGTATTTGATGCAGACCTTTCAGAAGAATTAGGATAGTTCCTCGTTTGATTTTCTAGATGTCTACAAAAAAAAAAAAAACATATTAGAGTTGGCTAGGCATTCTTCTCGGTGTAATTTTCTACACTTAATATTAGTTTTTATGATGCTACTATCAACCTAACTGCTGACTCCATTGGCATGAGACTTGGGCTTCTTCCAATTGGAACTGAAAGATTGGATAAGTAGGTTGTAGGAAGGGCTAAGAGAGTGAGACGAGTGATATCAGTTGAAATCCGAAATGATTGGCGGGATGACAACAAATCAGAAGCGTAAAACGATTGTTTTCTGCTGTCAAACAGCGACACGTAGCAAATTGGACGACGAAGGAGGCCTCCGAACATCTGAGAGAGATCATCATTTTGATCCTATTAGGCTACAGACACACCACTTGAAAGAAATTCAAAGTTATAATGCTCTGATAGAGAATACATCTCTAGATAACATAGCAATTGTTAAAACTCCGACCAAAACAAAAAGATAAAACATATATATATATATATCTTTAGAGATGAGAATATATATATATATATATATATATATATTCTCATGCTAGTAAGAAACCCCAATTAGAAGAAAGAAATAGGAAATAAATTAAAAAAGTATCATAGCTGAATTTGCGAATAGGGATGAAATTTTCCATGTTTAGCCCTCATATGATATGTTTCCTTCTCCGACCAATTGTGAAAATTTTGCAAAAATTCGTAACCATGATGAGAATCATTTCCGGTTCGCATTCCTGTTATTGAGGGGTCGATTTTTCGTATGTGGAATTTTGCAAAGCAGGAGGATCCCGTGGAATTTTTGGGATGGGAGGCGAACAAGATGCTCTTGTATTATTCTCCTAGGCTAGGAGAGGCTTTTATTTTTCTCTAGAAATTTTTGGAAGCTATCTATCATTATCATAATAAAGTCATCACCATACTGTATCTGAGGCAATCCAATTACAAAATATATGCTCATGTATCCATATAATCCAAAAAAAATACATCATTTTAAAACATGTCTTAGTAGAATAATTAAACACTTGTTTTGGCATAATTAGAGTTGGAACTGTATATTGAAGGGTATTCCCATGAACCAAATCTCTAGCCCTTAATTCTATAACTTGCATTTTCCACTCCTCATACTCAGCTTGGTGCATCCAATAAATAAAACTATTTGGAGAAATTGACCCTGTAATGACATTCATGTCATGCTGGACCACTCTCAATGACAACCACCTAAGGGGTGAACTGTCGGTTGATATATCCAGCGACTCCCTCAACATGGGCTGCCTCTTTATTGATAGTGGCTTCTTAGACCCACTCTTTTAGAACAACCAATGTTAATCTAGCTCTCATGAGTTTGGTGAATGATTATTTTTGTTTTTTGTTTTTTGAATTTGTTATCCACTTTAGATCTCAAAAGATTTTCATCTAAATAATCGAACGCGTTATTTGAAGATTTATATACTACCTCAAAGGATAAAAATATTAACTTTAAAATATATCTGATCACTCAAATGAGAAAAATCTTCAAAATTTATGGGTCTACGGAACTAGAGGTTTTTTCCCTATCCTACGGAGATAAGATAATATTTATTTTATTCTGAAAACTGATATCCCTACGAGTGGAAGCCGTCATAGTTAGTTACATCTTAAGAGTTGTGGCTCCTCAGAATACTCTCGATTAAAGTGTTGGCTTATATCGTGCATGATTATTCAGTAAGTGGCTGAGAGATTGATGTTTAGGACTCAAATTGATAGATTCAGGGTTTTGAAAAGGTCTGTGTGGAATTGAATGATTAAGACTTACAATCTAATAACGATGTTTCAAGTGTCACAGATTTGTGCATACCGAATTAGATTACACAAACAAGAGAATGATCTTTTTCATTGTTTAAGGAGCGAAGTCAGTGAGCTAGGAGAAGATGAAGATGTTAGAGTGTCTTAACTTGCAACTGACGAGAAAAAGATGCCGACAAGTCTAGCTGAAGTAACAATAATTATTTGAGAAGGGAGTGAGTTCGAGGTAGTTAGCATTCATGCAGAGTATGAGATTGCGGTGCCTCAAATTATCATTTTGTAGGAGTTGAGATGAGCATCAACAAGACTGCATGAGAAGTTCATAAGACTCATGAGTTCGGCAAACTAACACCCGAAACATGACAATCCTAAATAAGGGAAATTTAGACTTTTTAGATATATTGACTACTTACTGAGTTGCCTCTGTTAAGGGAGGTCCAACATATCAGATGTGAGAAGCTTTTGAGATACTTCGAGAAGATCAAACGCAGTCCTTTGGGCAGTAAAATCAGTTTAGCATTGTACCATCAATAGATGATCTGACAGGATGAATGAACTACATGTGAAATTGCCTTAGGATTTTTAGAGAAAAGAATATCTTATAGTGGGATTCATATTCTTTTAGAGAAGTAGAATAGAATTTTCTGAATGGTTATACTTCGGTGTGGTCCAGATTGTCATAGATTTCGTTCCAGAGTTGATTCCTTTTTACATACTTATAGTGGGATTCCTTTTTAGATATTCGAATGAGTACGAGGAGTGGAAGAAACCAATAGCTGACTTAATGGCTCGAGGCTTGGCTTGTGGAGAAGATCCATCTATGTATAGTTCCAGTTATGATTGTATCAAAACAGAATGTATACCTATTTTATTAAGATGTTCTTTGGAATGTCAACACCAACACAATTGATTTACCAGAAGATTACAACGTTTTCGTGAAAATAGAAGATTGTAATGTTTCCGCATTAACTTGGATAATAACATAGCTATTTTTCAAAATTCTTAACAAATCTCTAGTAATATTTGACTAATCCAAGAAAACTATGTATTTCTATGACATCTATAGGCGTAGGTCATTTTATGATTGCTTCATATGCTAAAGATTCACTGAAATTTCGTATACACTGATGATGTGCCACAAAAACAAAATAATGTGATCACAGGCGGCGGGGGATTGTGGGCGGCTGCAACGAGTTGCCTATGACATTTTACATGATTGATATAATTCAAATTCGGCTAAATCTTAAAACTTTTTTGAAGTCATTCTGCCAAGCAATTTGTATATTGTAAATGTTTTTGGTTGCACCACCATCCCTAAACCAACTTTTTATGACAACAAATTTAACAATTCTTAGGAGGTACACCCTGAAAATCTGTAATCACTAGAATGCTCTTTTATTCTTGCTCATTCATTAGCTTCTTGAATGGTGATTACAGAACTATTGCTTTCATTATTGGATTATTTCAGCATTTTGAGATCTCTTATTTCTCTGTTATTGAAGGCTTCGCATAGAACTGAGTATTGTGTGGCTTATACTCTCTAAGAACTTTTCTGGGTTCTCTTTTTCCTTGAAGTATTTGTTGAGTACTATCCTTTCTCTATTTCTGCGAACAAGTATGCACATCAATAGCTTTTTTTTGAACCTATCAAGCGGTGCCCAAAATTACTCTTTTCACATTTTCCATAAATGGGCATTTTCGACAAAGGTTGCTTCTGATTGCCTTCTAATTTATATTTCTTGCTTTAGGGATCGTCTCTCTTTCCAAAATCTTTTTGTTTGCTTGCCTGAGGTTGCTATCCGCGACTTGAGAAGTTCGACTTTTTTTCAATTCTTCTGACTCTTTAAACTAATATTGAGAAATCATTGAACGATTACAAATGAAAATATAACGATCTGTTCTCTAGCAATCCTTCTAATTTTTTCTTTAAAAAAGAAACAGTGCAAATGGAAATGGCACACAGTACCTCTAAGTGCTTGTTATCTACAGGGAAATGGAATACCATGTATACCGATTCAAACAGCCTACAATGAGTTGCTGTATAAGCATAACACTATGTAACATGATGGCTTTATAATCACATTGTATATTTCATTTATTTTTGTTCAATTACATACACCTATGTAAGGTGTCACTAATTTCATAAGAGCTAGTCTATTTCACAGCTTATTTCCTTAAGTTTGGTAATTGAAACAGTCAATCAAAGAGCTCACCAATATGGCACAAAGATATTATCATGATGTTGCTCTTCCAAAGCTGGTAAGCTTTATTCACATGTGACTTCATTTGATTTGTAATTTCATGAGTTTCTTCTTGCCCAATGTTCAATATTATTGAAATTTCATGACCTTCATAGGTGGCAGATTTGGCATCACTTGAGCTATCTCCAGTTGATGGTAGAACCCTTACTGACTTCATGCATACACGTGGGCTTAAAATGCGCTCCTTGGGTCGTGTTGTAAGTTTGTAATAATTTGTTTTCCTGTTCTTTATCTTGTTGTTTATCTATTTTTTTATCAAAAGAATCACCATTTGTGCTCTTCCCCTATTTAAAATATCTAGGCTGAGCTTGCAGAGAAGCTCCCACATATACAGTCTCTCTGTATTCATGAGATGGTTACTCGATCCTTCAAGCACTTTATAAGAGCCGTGATTGCTGCTGTTAAGAGCTTTTCAGATATTCCTTGCGCTGTTGCTACAGCACTGAATGTCTTGCTAGGATCTTCTGGAGGGGATGATGGAGACCTGGACAAGATTAAGTGGCTGAAAGCTTTTATATTTAAAAGGTATTCTTGGAGGTTACGAAATGAGTTTCAGTTTCTGAGAAAGTTTGTTATTCTCAGAGGGCTTTGTCAAAAGGTATGCTCTTGAAGCATAATTTAGATTGGCACTCTTGCTTGGAAACAGTAGTGGGAGAAATTCTTACCTATGTGCATAAAACTTCAGGTGGGGCTGGAGCTGTTTGCTAGGGATTATGATATGGACAGTCCAAACCCTTTCGATAAATTTGATATTATCAGCATAGTTCCTGTATATAAAGTATGCAGCAGGACATCTTTATTTCTGGATTATTTTTGTATGCTATAAGTTCTAATGAAATCACTCTGAAATTTTTTATTTCTTCAGCATGTCGTGTGCTTATCCATAGATGGTAGGAATTTATTGGAGTCATCCAAGACAGCACTGGATAAGGGAAAGTTTGAGGATGCTGTTAACTATGGCACAAAGGTGATGCCTACTTCCTGCCATGTCAATATCTCTAGCATTATAAGAACAAGAAACGAGAAATAACTCCTAATGACTCGTATTTCACCCATTTTGAATGTGAAGGCACTGTCAAAAACGATAGCTGTGTGTGGTCCCTACCATCGAATGACTGCCAATGCTTACAGTCTTCTTGCGGTTGTCTTATACCATACTGGAGATTTTAGTCAGGTGATTGGATTTGAGTAGATTTTGGGCTGCAATTGTCAATATTTTAACATAAGCATCACTTAATGTATTATTTACCAACTTATCATTTCTCTAACCTGTCCTATGCCATATTTAAGTAGATGCTTTTGCTAAAAGTTCAACAAGGCTTTAGTTGAAAATGAGTAGATTTTGGGAATTCATTATATCTCAATTAATTCATCATCATCATGCTTATTAGCTTTATCCCAACTTTTTTGGTTTGACTTTATGAATTTTCTTTTGCCATTTTTTCCTGTTGAAGGATACATTAGGGTAAATTCTATCTTGCATAAATATTTATGCATTAATTCTTCACCCTGTTTCTATCTGAATTTTTTTTTTAATCTTTCCACATGAATTTTATCTAGCCTATCATATGCTGCATCTTTACTATCTATCGAAATGCTAAGCCAGTCAATTTTCTACTATTGTAGGTGTGCACCGACTTTCTCTCTCGTATGATTATTTCTTACTTGTTCTCTTTAACATGCTTCCATTTTAACATCTCAAAACTGGCAAATAGAACTTAATCATTGACAGCTTAATTACCCAACGCTTTGATCAATATAATTTTGCTGCTCTAATTTTAGTTCATCTTTGTAGCTTTCAGCATACTGCTTCTGATACATTTCTTCATTGAGCATGTTCTTCACCTTCTCTGAGTCATTTCTTCATTCTGAATTTGCCTTTCTTTTTCCACTTTTCAATGTACTCTTCTAGGCAGCCATTTATCAACAGAGAGCGCTGGATATTAATGAACGGGAAATTGGCCTTGACCATCCAGACACCATGAAAAGTTATGGGGATCTTTCTGTGTTTTACTACCGTCTGCAGCACATTGAATTGGCTTTGAAGTAAGATTAAAATGACAAAATATTTGCAATTATTTACTTTTAAACTATTTTATTCAAAAATGTGTTCCTAAAAAATCCTACATATTCCTCGTTTGTCTCAATGCCTTCTGTTCATTTTAGATATTTAACAAATTTTAGTTTTTTATCTCTTAATTTTCTCAGTCTTTTTGCCTCATTGATGGAGCCTTATTTCCAATTTTCCGCGGAGTTCTGGAATGGGAGGAATCCATCAGACAGAACTCCATAGGCTGCTTAAGAATTTTTAGGCTAATAATTTGTATCCTCTTAATATCAAATGGGAACAATTAATTCTACTAAGCGCAAAACCTAAAACTGCCATTGTTCAAAGACTTCCAGTACATATGCCAACCGATCACCTTCTATCTAGCATATATTGATGATGTACTATATGACTTTGGTCATTTACTAGCATAGGGCTTTTAATGCAATCAATGTAATGTAATGATATCGATCACACCCAAAAAAAAATGTTAGGATTCAGAGATTAATGACAGCTAATTGATAAAAAATTACTTTCTTTAATGCAATGGCCGGTTAGTTCAGATAAAATGAGATCCCTATACATAACATTGACGGGTAGTTTAATTTATATATTGCAATCAAATTTCCAGTTGTAACAGATTTAACCATAATCTAAATTGCAACATCAATAACTAATATGGAGGGAAAAGAAAAAAAGAAATAGATCAACGAAGGGTTCCTCAGAGGTCATCATGCCCCACGCAGATCTGGGTTCCTCAGCACCATATATGGCGCTCCCGCATCATTTTTTAGTCAATATCTAGTAAGAATTAGCAAGTAATGGACAAAAAAGAGAAACAAGAAACATGAAAATATAATAGGCGGGAAAATAAACATCACATAATTAGCACGAGTCATCAAGTTATGGGCAAATAATTGAGTGGAGGCCACAATTTTCATTACCATCATCATCGTCAAACTTTTCCCATTTATTTTTGAATATTCATTTTATTTCTTTTAAGGTGTTAACTCTTTTTTGCTTAAATCCTAATATGTGTAAGGTTAACTTTTGTGTTTCTTTTAAAAATCGAGTGGCAAAATGTAAATACCGGGAAAGTCAAAATAAACATCACATAATTAATAGGAGTCGTCAAGTTATGGGCAAATAATTGAGTGGAGGCTACAATTTTCATTACCATCATCATCATCATCATCAAACTTTTCCCATTTATTTATGAATATTCATTTTATTTCTTTTGAGGTGTTAACTCTGTTTTGCTTAAATCCTAATATGTTGAAGATAATTACTTTTGTTTTTCTTTTGAAAATCAAGTGGCAAAATGTGAAATCTGGGAAAGTCAATGCCTATAATACCTACCATAAATAGATTAACAAATTAGTTGCGCCTTATGTTGAAGCTGCACCATATCATTATCATCATCATTATTATCATCAGGTTTATCCTTAACTATTTAGGGTCAGCTTTATGGCTATCAATAAATAAATTTTGATAAGAATTTAATCATTTAATGGAGGAGAAAGTGCTAAATAGTATCTTCAATGGATTTGGGTGAATCCTTTAGCAACTAATCATGCTTTGTAGTTTTTTATCAGTCCATTGTAATGAAATTAAATAATCAACACTCATAAAAAAAGCATTTAATTTGACCGCAGGAGAGTGAACAACTAAATGTTAGGTATAAAGTTTGTAAAAAACATTCATTTCTACAATACATGGTGTATTTCCATAAAGGACGCTGCAACAAATTTTAATATATAATGGGAATAGATACGATGCAAAGGCATGAAATAAAGTGGATAATTGATCAAATGAAACATATAAGTGCTTAGGATGACCAGTGCATTTCCTTTTATCTCTCCTGAGAGTAACAATTAAATGTAGATCAGATGGTTTAATAGTTTGTTGAATGCTTCGTTGAATCTAACAATATTGTTATGGATGTTGTCTTGGGAGGAAGTAAAGGCATGGAGAGCAGTCATGTGGAGGTGTGGAGGTATGAGAAGAACTTTTGGAGGAAGATGAATTGGTGCCATATAGCCTTTAAGGTTAGATCGCTCATCATAATAGGGGATTTTAGCACTTATAGCGATATTGGGGGTGAGAGCACCTAAGGAAGGTACACCGAATAACATAGGGGGAGTTTTCCTTGAAATAAAAATGCATGGATCTAGAATGTACACCAAAAGATCGACAATGTAAGGGGAAATAGAATTTGTTGGGATTAAGAATGGAGAAGGGTAAAATGTGGCATAGAAATGGAGAAGATATTTTATTAATGAAATAACAGGAGGTTAAGATTGCATCCCTCTAGAAATGATGAGCTGCATTCATGTGAAATAGCAATGTTATGGCAACATGCAGGTGGTGATTTGTGATTAGTGACACCATTTCATTGAGAGGTGTAGGGGCATGGAGTTTGATGTATAATACCATTGATAGAGCAGAATTTACAAAACTAATATTGTATGAATTCGAACGCATTATTCGTACAAAAGGTTTTGAATAAGGATTACAATTGAATTTTTATTCCCCGATTAAAAATTTAAAAATTTGACATTTTTGAAAGACCTCTAAACAACATTTGTGTAAATAAACTTAAGTAATTCATAAAAAAATCCTAAAAAATGGTTGCAAGATTATAAAAGTTGAGATGTGTAAGGGTAGAGCTTGGATCCTAAATGTTAGACTGATATTTAACAAACTCACTTGCATGTGGTCAAATTTGAGCATATATGGAGAAACAAGGACGAAATCCCAATGTTTATTGGGAGGAGGATCTAGCTGACAATTCCAGTGAAATGTGGTAATCGTGGAATAAGTGTGAAAGGAACATCTGCCATCAAGTAGTAGGTCTTTTTAGCTTATGTATATCTCTTAATCACCTTCCTTGAGTTGAGGTTCTTAAAAACATGACTTGAAGGATAAAAAATTACTTAAAAGTTATGTGACTTAGGAAGATGTTGATATATAATAAGTATATAGGAAATAATGTGACATTGAGCATCAAAGAAAGGTAGAGGTTTCAAAGAAATCCCATTGTCTTATCCTAAGATTGGTAAAGGGTACCACATTAACCATAATCTAGGGTACCACATTAACCATAATCACGGGAAAAAGAGAGGTGTGTGCATAAAGGAAAGAGAAGTTCACAATTTTCTTGTTATATAGGAATTGTTATTGGTGTATTTGATCTTGGACATACTTGAATAAGTAGGGTCTGTTTGAGGCAGCTGCAACTTATCCAGATTATCCAGATAAGTTGTTTATCCTGATAAGCTGCTGATCCGGATAACCTGTCTGATTGTTTGGTTTCTGCGTCTGAAAAATAGCTGACTCTGGATAAATGATTATTTCCCCCTTGTTTTGGATAAACTATTTATTTGTTTGGTTTGTGTATTTTGAAAAGAGTTGATTTGTAGATTTTTTTAGGTAAATGAACAATCTGTCAAACAAAAGTTGCGACATTCTCAACAAAACTATAATGTCTACTCATTAGATATTTTATAACCAATTAAACCACGTCATTACAGTACAAAAAAGATATAGCCCTCACATAATAGTGAGTATCATGAAATTAAAAAAAAAGAAGAAATAATATATTATAATTACTAGGATTAAAATGACAATATTCATTTTAAAATGTAAAGGCATGTCACGACGAACGTTGCTTGGTTCTGACACCCCAAGTGTCAAAATCTGATATGATAATTCATTATCTCCAACATCAAGAGAACTTCATGGGGTCGTTGGTTCACTCAAAATAAAATGATGTTAAAGCTAAATATAATATATTACATATGCTTTATACCCAAGTGTCAAAATCTGATATGATAATTCATTATCCCCAACATCAAGAGAACTTCATGGGGCCGTTGGTTCACTCAAAATAAAATGATGTTCAAGCTAAATATAATATATTACATATGCTTTATGGTTATTTGAGTCAATGCAGTATAAATACACTAATTTATATTGTGTTTATTTGGAAGAAAGTAAATAAATCATTTTAAAGTACAGCTATTTATCATCTATCCTCCTTGCAAAAACACTTGCCAAGCTTATGCAAATTGAAGTTTAAAGATGGTAGAAGAGACTAATAATTCAATATAGAGAGAAGCAATTGAAGATGAGGTGAAGAAACAGAGGTCTCCATCCCCAATTGGATACAAATGATTCTTCACTAATGAAATGCTGATTTACTAGATCCATCAAGAGACATAAAACAAGGCTAGCTTACCAAAGCTTACAAGGTCAACTATAATGAAATCTTTGCTCCCGTGTAATCCTTAAAATCGTTTGGATACTTCTCACAATGGCAGCCAACCTTGATTGACCGATTCACAAACCGGATTATAAAAATGCATTTTTGAATGCTAACTTAAATAAGGAAGATTATATGCACCATCCTCTAAGGATTAATGACCCCAAAAAGACAATTCTAGATATTGTAGTTAACCTATTAATGATTTCAAATAAGCACCTCAAGCCTGATTTAACAGTTTCAAAAAAGCTATAAGTCAGTGGAGATTCATACAACCTCACTCTAATCACTTTGTTATACAAATTTAACAGATTCATGCAGTCTATCAAAATCTCTGGTAAGAAAAAATAGCCATAAAATCTATCGAAGAAAATATCCTACAGATATCTTTAAATAAATCATCTTAACTTGAAGCAAACAATTAATACTTGTCGGGAGGAAAATAAGTTCTTGTACTTGATGCATTATGCTCGAGTTGCACACCCCACCACAAAAAATAGAAAGACCCAACCAAATCCTACATGCTCATAAACTAGGGCCTTTTCTTCACCGCGATATTAGAGCACGTTTTCGGCCAAATGAGGTAGAGGAGGGAGGAGAGGAGGCAGGAGAGCATGTGGGAGAAGAAATTTTACCAGAGAAGAGCAACTTCTCGGCGGGAAGCGACGGAGGAGGTGCGCTCGACAGAGGATCTTCTAGGGCGACGATCGGGTAGCGAGAGCAGGGAGGTAATAGACTTTAGATAAAATGCGGAACGCAGGGGTAATACCGCGGTCGGCGTTTAATGCATTAGATAAAACACAGTATTTAAAAACACATTCTAACCGCGCGAATCAAACATCGAGACAACGCTTTGAAAATGCTGCCGCACTTATAAGCTGCTTCAAACGGGCCCGTAATTGTTGTTGAACCAGAGGAGAATTTGCAAGGTTATTCTAAAAAAGAGGTGGAGAAAAAGATGATAGCTAGTTGAGTTGAAGAACATAATAAAGAGCAGTTGTAAGATTAAGAAATATAGAATGGTCATCAACTTTTATTGGGATGACGATGACCAAGCTAACAATGCCAATGAAAGAATGGTCATCAACTTTTATTGGGATGACGATGACCTAGCTAACAATGCCAATGAAATGGGGTAATTGTGGAATAAGTATGAAAGGAACATCTGCCATTCCGTAGTAGGTCTTTTTAGCTTATATATCACTTGATCACCTTCCTTGAGTTGAGATCCTTAAAAACATGACTAGAAGGATAAAAAGTTACTCAACAATTATGTGACTTATTAAGATGGTGAATACATGATAATTATGCAGGAAATAATGGGACATTAAGCATGAAAGAGTCGTAGACGTTTCAAAGAAATCACAATTTCTTGTCCAAAGATGGGTAAATGTTACCACATTTGCCATAATCATGGGAAAAAAAGATGGCGTGCAGAAAGGAAAGAGAAGTTTACAATTTTCTTGATATATAGGAGTTGACAATGGAATATTTTATTTAGGACATACTTGAAGATGCAGTTATAGCTGAACCATGGGAGAATTTGCAAAGTTATTCTACAAAAGAGGTGGAGAAAGAGATAATAACTCATTGGCTCGAAGAACATAAAGAGTGGTTGTAAGATTAAGAAACATAGAAGTCATCAACTTAGATTATGTATGTTAAAGAGATGGATGAAGGCTTGAGATAAAATTAGCAACTAATAGAACTTCATTTTGTTGTTGCTAAACCTTAGTGGTAAATGTATGCGGTGAGTAGTTTATCCCACTTATCCCTCTTAGGTGTTATTATAATCTTAGATGGTTAAATCCTCATATTGTTGAAAAAATAGAATGGAGTACAAAGTATAGACCTTGGATATACTTGTGCAGACGCGCTTGAGTAGAATGCAAAACATTTCATGTTGCTATGGCAATATTAGGAAACATGATTGTGGAGGCAGTAAAATATTGAGATTATTTAATTATCAACTAAGCATAATCGGATGAATGAAATTTCGAGAATTTGTTGTTATCACCTTGAGCTAGTGAGAAAGTCTCCTGTTAAATACGAGCCTTAGTGATAGTGGTTTGCAATGAGTGTAGATGGCTTGTATGCAGTGGATCGTCATGCAAGCAATGCCATGATAGTAGGTGCGAGCAATTTACATCATAATGTGCTATTCATGGATGGGTGATATGCATCATTGTTCGTGGATGGTGTTACAATCCAATAGTGGGATGCTATTAGGGGTGTCAAAAATTGACTTGACACGCTAACACGACTTGAAATCGACTCAAAAAACTCGGTTCGGGTTGATCCAAATATTTTTCAAGTCAAGTTCGGGTCCGAGAATTTAACCCGTTTATTATTCGGGTCGGATTCGGGTTGACCAGATTCAGATCAGGTTATTTTCAGGTCGGACTTACCCGCCGACCCAAATTAACATCCCTAGGTGTCAAAATTGACATGACAAGCCAACACGAGTCGAGCTCAACTTGAAAAATCCGGTTTTGGATTGACCCAAATATTTTTTGAATCGGGTTCAGGTCAGATAATACGACCCGTTTATTATTGGAGTCGGGTTCTAGTTGATCCGATTTGGGTCGGATCTTTTTCAGGCTGGACCTGAACCCGACCCATCGACCCAAATTCACACCCCTAGATGCTATGCTAAAAACAAGAATTGGGAGGTGAGCATCGGGTGATGCAGAATTAGGAAGAAGGGAAAAACAAAGAAGAAAGAAAAGGAAGGAAGAAGGAAGAAGGAAGAATGGATGGAATAGAAGAATCAGGAATAGAAACTTAATCTAGGGAAATCCTATTAGGGTGGGTAATAGTAATTGAATTATGTTGGGTTAAATTAAGATCTTAGTTAAGAATTTCATGAAATATCTAAATGGATTATGATTCCAAGTGATTTACTCTAGGTGGTGAGCTCGAGAAGATTCATTGTGGGGCTACTCTGTCGCTTCAGGTTAAATAATCATGTGCAAAATTAAGAAGAATATCTTTCTGTAGTATTAGTATGTAATTTATTAATATGCGACTTTAGTTAGAAATTTATTCAGATGTTGAATGTCCGCACATGTTTCATGAATACAAACTTGAGTTGACACTAATGATATTTATTTTTTTACTATTTTTATTGATCTGGTGAGCATATTTATTAAACCATTGCTTGCATGTATTTGTATACTGTTGTGTATGCATATAATACATGATTTTTATATGATGAAGGATTATTACAAAAATTATGTTTAAAGAAATATCACCAATGTTGTGATATGTTGACTATTACATGAATGACCTATAGGTATGGATGTCAGTGAATGATGAGATCCTGACTCCTGATATTTAAGTTGTGATGAAACTATTGATATTAGGGGGGGTTTTGATAACTGCTATATTGGGAGGGGCTCAACTTTTATCAAAAATTATTTTTTAGCCAACGGGCTGGATGACGACCCAATGACATGAAATGAAATGAGTATAGTCAAAATCTATGAAATACAAGTAACATTTCTAAGAAAACAACTATTTATTATGAAATTATTATGGCTATTTGTATGATTGCACAAAATTGAATGAAATGTATGTTTGTTATGGTTGTTATTGTTTACTGCATCTCATTCCCTTTTCGTTAAATATCTCAGCTGATTAAAATATGTTTTTATGTACTGCTGTCATGAATATGAGCCACGGTTGAACATACACGCTTTCTTTTCGTCTATAAATCTTACTTTAATCTTGTTTATTTCACATGAATTGATGAAGTAGCCCTACGACAGATTTTTTTGAGTTTGCCATCTACAATCTGGAATCATAATGTCCTTAGAATTTTCAAGAAAATCTCAAGTAAACTCTTAATTCAACCCAACATAATTCAATTAGTATTACCCACCTCGAAAGGATTTCCCTTGATTAAGTTTCTATTCTAGTTCTTCTATTCTAGTAGTTCCTTCTTCCTTGTTCCTTCTTCCTTCTTCCTTCTTCTGCTTCCTACTTTGTTTTACCCTTTTCCTCCATTTCCCCTACAGATTTCTCGCTACTAACCTTACTTGAGATAGGTTTTAGTTCCTCCCAATTCCAGCTACAGTAACCAGGATGCGGGCTTGTTTCAGTTAGTGGAAATGGCAAAAATTGATTGTGGGAGAGAAAATAAATGTTTAAATTTACGAAAATGAGGATTCCCTCACCAATTTCTTCTCAGAACCCCCAAACCGTGATTTCCGACTCATCTGTCTGTCATCCATCCCGCTCCGCTATAGTGCCCGAGATATGGAAATGCTCTTGGCTTGTGAAACATAAAGTGAGAGAGGAGAAAGGAAATGCGGAAAAGGAAAAGAAAACATTTAGCTCCTTTAATCACAACAGTCAAACGAATCCCACCATTGCATGCTTTGCGGAGTGATATGCTACAGTGCTGCTGGATTTGTGAATTTTAATTAGGATTTGATTAATTTTATTTAAGTTATATATATATATATATATATATGATCAATTCAAAATTTAGAATTTTATAAAATTAGCTCGGTTAGATTTAGGGGGAAAATTAGGGTATAATTTAAAATAGTCAGAAATTTTTATCTAATTTGACCAAAGTTGGGTATTGCGAATTCTCTTTTTATAAATATGAAATATAGCTCTTGCAATGCGCACAAATTAATAATAGAAGACCGGGAAAGTTTTAATTGAGCATAATTCTTGTCAATTAATTAAAATTTAAACGATAAAGGGGCTTGCAAAAGCTTTTATCCATTTGATCACCGAAATCAAGACAATTATGATAATCAAGATAGATTATTTATAGCTTGCCTAAATTATAATAAAGGGCCCTTTTTTGGGAATCAATCATGCATCCACTATTCATGGTGATCACAACACATTTAATTATAATTTGCTTTTACCATGACAATTGATTGATTCAATATACAACGATTTTTGTGATGGTTAGAGATTTCATTAGTGGCCAACTAGTAAGACTACTTGAGAATTTTCATAAATTAGATAGATTGTAGGGAATCTATTGAGGATTAAGGTAGAAAACGATTTAAGATCGTTTGAGCACCTGTAGTAGAATCTATATTTTGGGGGTAGTAATATGGTAATATTCCTGAAGTTGCTAAAGTAGATTTACCAAAATAGAATTGGCATCAAATTTGGCTCTGTATATGCAAAAAATGAGGTAGAGAAATTCAGAAGGCCTATCTCTAATAATAGTGGTGAGGCTGCTGAAGGTGATCTCCTTATGATAGAATGCGCATGACAGGCGTGCTAATTCATTTCTCACTTGGTTCTTGGCCTTCCTTTTATATTTATGACTTAATGAATACTAAGTGCAGCTAAATGCAATGATGAATTTTTATAGACTGATCAAAGTAATCAAATTTCATTGGGGCTAGATTTCATACAATTGAGTGATCCTCCAATGCTACAATTATGAATTCTCTAGTCAATTATATGATTAAATGTTTCAATATTCCTTGTCTTTAAAAACTTGTAATCAACTTAAAACTGCTATAGCTGTACTACATAGATTAGTTAATATGCTCCATTTCTCTTTATTCTTTTCGAGAGTTCATTTAAAATTTTATCCTAAATTTTATTTTTTTATGACTAAACATGTTTTGTTTGAACATACTTTACTCTCAGGTATTCTAATCGAGCACTCTATCTTCTTCATTTCTCATGTGGACTATCACACCCAAATTCTGCCGCAACCTATATTAATGTTGCAATGATGGAAGAGGGAAGGGGGAATGCTAATGTTGCTTTACGATACCTCCATGAAGCCCTCAAGTGCAATCAACGTTTACTAGGGGCTGATCACATACAAGTTTTTCCTTCTCTCTTTTTGATCTATATGTATTTTATCTTTGATGGAAAATAGTCTCCATTGATACTTAACTACATAGGCTATTCTGCAATATTTCAATATATTATTCATGAAGAGCATTAACTAATTCCATGCTGATGTGTGGTATTAGAAAATTATGAACTTTCTTAATGCTCTCCCTTAATATTCCAACTAGTTGATATATTTACACATTATGAGCAAGGATAACTTATTTTATGACTGGTGAACAGTTATAATTAGCTTTATTCCAACTGTTCTATAGTCAACTAGTATACCTAGATTTTATGTCAAAACTACTCATGAACTCATTGTTATACAGAACTTACAGTGCATTTAATTTTCAAACTTCTAAGTTATTAGCAACTAACTTATGAGTCAGGATGACATTTGAAGTCAAACACAAATATATAAGATATTTATTTTGATGTACCGTGAAAAATAAAAGTTCAAACTGTAATCTGCTAGTACAGTTCATATATTTTCTTATTTACTAATTCTGTTATACTTTGATTTTACAGACAGCTGCAAGCTATCATGCGATTGCTATAGCCCTTTCAATGATGGAAGCATATTCCCTCAGTGTGCAGCATGAACAAACCACATTGCAGATTCTTCATGCTAAACTAGGATCCGAAGATCTGCGCACTCAGGTTGCTTTCCAATTATTTATTTCATGAAATCTAGAAAATTAATTTGCAACGTAAAGTCCAATTGCTAAAACCTTGTGCAGGATGCTGCTGCTTGGCTTGAATATTTTGAATCTAAAGCTTTGGAGCAGCAAGAGGCTGCACGTAAAGGCATGCCCAAGCCTGATGCATCAATTGCCAGCAAAGGTCATCTAAGGTATGAACCATGACCTAGTATTCTTTATACTAGACATTTCTTCTTAGGGAAATATACATACATAGCACAGAATTCTTGTGCATTGACATATTGCACGCCTGAACTTTTATATTTACATACATAGCATTTTGGCGTCTTTATTGACATATTGCACGCCTGAACTTTTATATTTACACACATATCATTTTGGCGTCTTTAACCTATGCATGAAAAATGTGTATTTAACTTTTAAAAAGTAATAATAGTGCTTTTTTGGTGCTATTGAAGACTTGACTGCTATGTGTGTAAATATGAAAGTTTAGGCGTGAGATGTGTAAATACAGGCGTGAGATATGTAAATACATAAGAATTGTGTGCTTTGTATGCCAGTGCCCTTTTGATGTGTAAATACATAAGAATTGTGTGCTTTGTATGCCAACGCCCTTTCTTATTATCGTGACTGGGATATAATTCTTTGAGCTTTAACCAAGACACCGTGCAACTGACACCTTTTACCAAATCAGTGTATCAGATCTCCTCGACTACATAAATCCAAATCCGGACATGAAAGAAAAGGACATGCAGAGAAAGCAGAGGCATACCAAGGTAACTCTTTTCACTTTTGCTTTATCTCAAAATAGTCCAATTCGATCAAATTCAGTATTGTTTTCTAAAAGTCATCAATGTCACTCAAATGCCTGTTACATTGTTGCCTAGAGTAGTTTTACAAGACTTTTTCCACCGATTAATAACATTCTCAAGTAGCTATCAATTTGATAGGATGAGACTGATTATTTGTGTTGATTAGGGCGATTTTATTCTGTTGTTTGTTACTGTAAAGCTACAAACTTTATTTTAAAAATTAAATTTACCTTTCTAAAGGCATTGCCATTTGAAGGTATTCAAATCACCGCCATAAGAAGCACAAATTATGCTAGATGTCTCAAAAGTCGTCTTCTTGTGTAGCTGGGGCTGCAGTATTTGATATTTTGGCAAGGCTGAGGGCCTCTTTGGAGCAACTTCATTAGCATTAACAGCATTGAGAGAGCATCACCAACTTGATGCATTGAAACTGGTGCCGTGCTGTATACATGAACTTAAATTATATGCTTGTCTAGAAGTTCATGGAGAAAAATAAAGAATTTAAAAAATATATATATAGATTGGAAATATAATATGAATTTGAATTTGAATTGGGTATCATGAACATAATAATCTTAAGAGTGTATGATGGAGCGAGGAATGGAGGGAGGGGGGAGGGGGAGGGCTTTTGTCTTGGCAGTATATATAATAAATTATTTACATACATACCATACAATTTTTATATTTACTTATGAACTTTATTATTTATTCATCTATTACTCAATCTTTAGCATCACATTAAAAATATCATAAATAATCTTTTTCTTTAAACTGATGCACAGACTTATGTTTTGATGGGATTTTGACATTATAGTGTTATATAAAAATTAAGGTGTTAGAGATATAAATACATGAAAATCTCCCTAAACATTTTATAATTTTTACGGCTCATCTTCTTTTGAATTTGTAAGCCAAGTAATTTTTCCTCCGCATCAAGGCTTCCAGCTCCCTTCCCGTGTATAAAATTAAGGTGTTAGAGATATAAATACATGAAAATTGTGTGGTATGCCTGAAAATCTCCCTAAACATTTTTAAATTTTTACGACTTGTCTTCTTTTGAATTTGTAAGCCAAGTAATTTTTCCTCTGCATCAAGGTTTCCAGCTCTCTTCCCGTGTATTTTGTTTGTTCTTCATGTCTTACCAAGACCAGTAATTTTTATATTTTCGATTTCCTTAATTTCTGTCTACATCTTATAATGAAGCTAATGGTTCTTCTTCCTTGCATATTGATGTTTGTCACGTGCACTATCTGTCATTTGTTTGTGCACTATCTGTCATTTGTTTGTGCACATTCTTATTTGGAGGAGAGAGAATCTGGATTTCCTTAAATTCATCTACTCATGCTTTGATCATTCTGCCAGATTCATATTAACAAAACCCACATCATAACCAGTCTATTCTTCCTGCATTATGCCAATGTAGCTTAAATTTATTTTTTGAACAAGCGTCACCGTGCAAGTTCACATGGGTAGTGTAATAATGTCTACAAAATTTTCAATTTGTTCTTTTTTTATGGCATTGTTGGTTTCCTTTACAAATTATTTTTGCATTCTTCATTATCTTCCATGGTTTATACTGTTCTCAAATTCTAATCACGTAATTGGTTCCTCTTACTATGTCTATTCTGGATGCAGAGTAATAGCAAACCTAATCAAGGGGGAGGGGGGAGGGGGAGGGCTTTTGTCTTGGCAGTATATATAATAAATTATTTACATACATACCATACAATTTTTGTATTTACTTATTGAACTGCCTGGTATCAGCAGAAGAGTCGTCCGACGAAGGGTGGCAAGAAGCCAGCTTCAGAGGAAAATCTAATCACATGCGACAGAAATTTGGTTCAAGGCGACCCGGCCTTTCTAAGTTAGCTGCAAACAACTCGGAGTCATATTCTACTGTAAGTGTTGGTTATAAGATGAGAACCGTATTACCGAATTCTAAGTCCTTTAATGGAGCCAGCTCTACTGATGTCTCTTCTGTTGGAAAATTGTGGAATGCTTCCAGTTCAGTGGGAGAAGAATCCAATAAGGTTCAACTGGCTAGTCCTGATGTAGAAGCTAGCACAGAACACCTTAAGGCTTCTGGTACGAGCAGGTTCGCTGCGGTGGCTTCCAAGTTTGCGTCATACAAAGAAGTAGCCGTGTCACCTCCTGGCACTGTCTTGAAGCCTGCTGCTGGGCACTCTATTCAGGTTAAGGATGGGTCCAATGATTCCCTTGAGCAAAACAAGTTTGTAGAGAAAATCATGGATGAAAATAGGACATGCCAGGAGGGTTTGGAAGAATCGCCTAGTGATTATAGTGAGAAAGAGGACCACTCAAATGAAGTAGTGGAAGTAGATTTAGATGAGAAACCTTCTACAAGTTCTGATGAAGTCCTGGAATTTTCTGATTCAAAGAAAGCTGTGCCAAGCAGAAGCAGGCTGTCAGCTTCTGCTCCTCCATTTAATCCATGCTCTCTGCTTTCAATGTCTCATCCATATAACTCAAATGCAGTTAGTGGCATATATAATGCAAAAAATGTCCAAAAGAGTGTGCCACGTCAATTTTTTGAATTTCCCTCTCCTGATTCTGTAGATCTTAGAGTCCCTCGTGGTCCCAGATCCACTATTTACTATAGGTCTGGCCATTCTTTTAGGAGGAAAGCTGGTTATCCAAGTTGGAACAACAATGTTTTGAATAGAAATAGCACCTCTCAGAGCATAATGAATCCTAATGCTGCTGAGTTTGTTCCTTCTAAAGATCGGCACCCAGATACAGGGAAAACTGCTGTTCTCTGCGAAGAAGCTCAAAATCCAGAAAAGACTTCGTCTAGGCCGCAAGAATTTACGAGTGCTGCAAAGAATGAAACTTCAGATGTTTACTTACAAGAGAAAACCAAAGTTGAGAAACCTGATAAACAAGCGATCAGAGATAATAATGGGAGAAATGACACCAAGAACTTGCAAAGAACTGAGCTTGCACGACAGATTCTTCTCAACTTGGTTGTGAAATCATTTCAGCATACTCTAATCTCTTCATCTGATGCCGAGTCTAAGTCATTTCCGGCTAAAACCAAGCCCAGGGAAAGCAAAGGACAGCAATCTCAATCTTCAAACAATGTGCAGTTTAAGAAGGGAAGAATTAAAAGCAGCAAGAAACAAGATGCAGAAGGATTTACGATCGTCTCGAAGAGAAGAAACAAGAACCAATTCCCTAGTGCAGTGAATGGCTTGTATGCTGAGCAATTTATCTGTACGTAGTGGGCTGATTACACAGAATATTATAAATAAGGCAAGTAAGTTCTTTTTCCCAATTTGAATATTTGAACATTGCCAGTGTTATTACTCGAGACGAAATTGTAATATGGTAGTATTCCGGCTTGTGAGCAGAAGATATTTGAGAATGATCTTGCAATAAGATGCTGGTCTGCAGCTTCTCAGTTTTCCAGGTGATTGATGAGAAGAGACCTGCATGTACATAAAGCCATCTCAGGATTGCTTAGGAAATTTCAACATCGTTTATGGACAAAAGCTTTTCAACGTATCAAAATTGATGAAATCTATATGATAAAGAAATTGATATATTTATATGATTAATCTGTAGGAAAATAAGTGTGTAATTAGTTTTTATAGTTGAAATAGGAGTTTTAAAAGGCTATAAAGTGTAAAATCATCATTTAATAGCACTTGCTTTTGTAAACCTATATATTTCACATCCCATCCAACACTATTGTCAGACATATATGTCATAGATTTGTAATTTTTTCAGCTAAGATCACTCAAAGAGAGATTTTGCTACATATATTCCTAGAAATTAAAGAATTATAATTTTGAACCACATCAACCAGAGATTTTGTCTAGTAACTCAGTCATGCAGATTCATTGAAAAAAAAGGCATCAACATATTGATTCATAGAAAATTCTCTTAAACAACTATTGGAACTCCATTGATTTGACTTGTACAATTTTCAAAGGACACCTTTATTTATATCTGTCCACCTCATAATATTCAAGTTATATGACATCTTCAATATCATTTAAAGGTTACTTTGTTATTCTTTGTAAACAACCAGAATCCACTAGTTAACATATTTCTTGCATCAGCCAAAAAGTTGCCATTCTTCATACTTCAGAATGGGAATTCACCAACCAAAAACTGCTCATTTGTACTTTTTGTTTAGAAATGATTTAGGGGAATTCTTCTTGCAAAGTTTGTTACCAAGTATGATACTCAATTGGAATTACACACAGAAGATCTGAATTCTATCACTCATCTGCACCAATCATATTCTCAATTATTCAAGAAAAGATCATAACACAAAAGACTAATGAGCACATGAAACAATTCTATATATAGCCCTGTTTATATCATATATTGCACAAATAACTTTTGTGTGAAGCCTTGAATGCAAATAATTTTTCAAAAAGCAAAATACTGATAAGAAACACGAAAAATGTTTGATTGCATGAACATTTTATTGACTTGGAAGATGCTAGCAACTTGCTTTCATTTTTTATTTCATTTGGAGAGGTCTGACATGCCAGTAAAATGAAATAATAGCTAGATCAAAGCCATTCTCTTGGGAGTCTATCATCCAACTAGAGAATTGGCAGCAAAACACAACTTTTCGTGCTATCCTCTGGAATAATATGCTTATTTGAGTCAATATTATACTCATCAAATGGGTGATTATCAAAGTTGTTAAGGATGTAAGCCCAAAGGATAATGGTATTTTCTATTGATTTTTAATCAACATAGTGAAATAATATTAATTGGGCTAGGCATTATTACTTATTAAGTTTTCTAGACTTCAATCAAAAGTGAGGTCAACAAGGCTATATGGTATTTATCACCACACATCCCATTTTAATTTTTCATTTCTACATTTTATGTCTCTTAGAGGCTATATGGTATTTATCACCACACGTCCCATTTTAATTTTTCATTTCTACATTTTATGTCTCTTAGAGGCTATATGGTATTTATCACCACACGTGCATATCCTTTATGCCACAATACAACAACAACGACAATAAACCTTTATCCCACTAAGTGGGGTCAGCTGTCTCCATTGTGTTTTATTGAGTGTCATATTTTCATTTAATTATAATACATTAAAAAATTTTTTTTACAATATGCCCAAGTCTTTGTAGTTCTACCTCTACCTTTCTTAACATGAGTTGAATCTAAAAGATCTACCCTCATAACCGGATCATCAAATTGTTGAAGTTTAATGTGATCATACCATTTAAGATGACTCTCTTTAATCTTGTCTACAACTGGAGCAATACCAACTCTTTCACTAATAGATTTGTTTTGTATCTTGTCTCTAAGTGTTAAGCCACGCATCCAACTAAGCATTCTCATCCATTATAAGAAGTGGAAAAAATAAATCTTGTAATCGTACAGGTTATCTCTTATGATGGGTTGAAGAATATGTGAGCATGCAGTGTTGATTAGTAAAAGGTGCAGAATGATTTTGTTAACTGATAATAATGATGAGAATTTATGTTGAATAGTGAGTGGAAATAATAGTTGGAAAGCAAACAAATGATTTTTGAGGTGGATTGATGGTGAGTATCCATATATAGTGTGATATCAATGGTTGGTATGATTGACATCACACTCATAAAGAAGATTGGATTACCAATAAAGGTAAAACCAAAATTTGGAGATATAAAGTCAAATGAAGACAGTTTGAATCTTGTTTAGCTCATAATCTAAACAAACATGTATTTTTAGAGGTAAATTTTAAGTATATAAATTATTGGAGAGTTATAATTTTTGTTGTTGTATCAAACTTTAAATAAAATTATATTTTTTAACCACCAAGATGGAAACCACTCAACATATGGAGTGGAATTACTTGTTTAATCATCACAAAGGCAAAATGGTTAAAGAGTCAACCAACTAATAGTTCCAAAATGTTTATCTAAGAGAGGCACATTTAAAAATAATCACATTGTGTTGTTCCTAACTCGTAAACTTCTCAATATGGTTTGAAGGTTATCATTTTGAGACTTGTTCATCTTATAAACAAGAACATTAAGATGTGAGCCAAAGGTGCCTCTCATAGTTGAGTTGCATTGATTTGTAAGAAATGAAGCATAGGTTCATCATCCATTATGGACGGCAAGATGTTAGAGTGGTGATAGTTAATTATGGCTCCATTATTGTATGTGTTACTCTTTTTGGTCAGTAGGAACACATTCAAAGAAGACGTGATAGTGGCATTGGTTATCACAAATGATCTAAACTATGGCAAGTTGGTATATTAATTGTAGTAAAGAGAAATAATATTAGCCATTGATGGATGAGAAAACAATAGTCATTGGCATTATTTCACATTATTGTATATCAGTTGAGTTAGAAATCATGCGCTAAAAATTGGTTGGCCTACTAGTCATAGGAAAAGTGAACCGAAAGGTTTGGACATAAGAAACCACAAAAAGAAGAAGGTGGAGGTTTTGAAAGTGCGTGTTTGTGTGTGTGTGTGTGTGTCTGTGTGTGTCTGTGTGTGTTGACTTCTAAATGTCTTGTTGTATTTAAAATCGAGTGCGCTTGAACATTTGAATTTGTCTCAATGAAATTATAGATTCAAATAAAAGTACGCTCATTTGAGAGAATATTTTAGCTTTAAAAATTTCTCTAGAAGTATGCAGATTTATCTTAAAATATTAATGCAAGCATCCTAATACCTTTTCTTAGCGTAAACTCCTAAATATCTTGTAAATATCTTGTTATTAAAAAATAAATAAAAAATAAAAAATAAAAGAAAGAAAGAAAGAAAGAAAGGAAAGGGCTCATTGAACTTAGTTTTGAACCGAGTCAAACTCGCATAAAATAAAATTGCTTCTACTCTTGTTAAAATGCGAAAAAAATACAAGAAGTTGCTACTAGTAATGGCATCCAAACCACCTAAAGGCCAACCTTAATTGAAATTCAGCCAACTTAAAATCCTTGAAGAAAGACATGGCCGGCCGAATTTTTTATATGCTCTTTACATATAATCAACTACTTTTATCTAATAGTACAAAAATCAAGCTGTCCATCCTGTCTCTTGTAAGGAATATGTGAAAGCCTCTTAAGAAAAAGCTTCATATTACACTGAGGATGATGGTTATTTATGTAAAAAAAAGAGACAATTACATACAGACCGTCCGAAACTTGGTATTTATAAATTAATCATCCTCTTTCATTCCTTTTTTCAAATTCTCATTTAACTATCCATATTCATCGTGAAACCCCGACCATTATTTTTCATTCTTATCAAATTCTCAATAGTTTGATCGAGACACAGCTAAATGCGTTTTTTCGATTGTTCAAAAAAATCATTTGAGTGATTAATTTATAAATATAAATGTTTCGGGAGGTCTCTATGTAATTATCCAAAAATAGAATAAAAAAGAAAATCCATTCAGAATATACGTAGCGCTTGACAGTTGTAAGTAAATCGAGCCTGCATTAATATCTTCTTGTTCATACTCTATTTACCCTTTTACTTAGTCTAAGTCGAGTATAAATGTAATCTTTATTTTAAAATCTTATTCATAATTATTTAATAGTCTTTTCCTTAGTATGAAACATAATCAAGCATTAATGTAACTAAATATATTCTACATTTAAATTTAGAGGTTTAAATATACATGCTCCTTAATTACTAGTGCTAACTAGAATTATTAGTTTTAATTAACATTGAAGTTTACATACCTTAAGAGTGATTGAAATCAATATGTATAACTATTTGCTTACAATTTATATGATATTTAGACCTTAACAACTTGGTAACTTCTACAACATATAAGATATAGAATAATTATTTAAGAATATTAAATAAATAATCAATAAAAATTTAAATAAATGAGAAGCAATTTAACATGCACTTGAACTTGAATGGCATGACCACTAAATATTTGCTAAGAGCCCTACCAATGTCAAATTATAGAGAAAGGTTTTTAACTTATTAGTTTATAACTTAGAACAATATAAACGACATGGTGTGATAGCTACATATTGTGAATATTAGAATGTCATATTGAAACTTAGTCATAAGTTTGGTTTGAGTTAAATATCATTGTTGTGCATTAAAATTATAAGTAATATTTTGTTGAAGGCCGGTATTAGAGGAAGAATCATTAGTGGCTTCAAAATTCTCATATTATAATCAAATCAAAGCTAACTAAGTGTTTCTATAATATAATCAAATAACAAATACTACGACACCAGTGGAGATCAAGCTGGATGAAGAAACGTAGCGTGAATCGCGGGCTGATGGGGCTGCTATGTGGGAGGCGCGACAGATAGAACTATGCCATGTGGTTTTGGTGTAGCCGTCCTAGTGTTATTCCAGTGTCATGCCAGTGTTATTTCGGTTTTACTCGCATTATTTTTAAGGGCTTGTTTAGATGGAACAGTGGACTGACGCGGCTGATGAGGTGGAGAGCGCAAAAATGGTGGAGCGGCACATGGAGCTTCAGATCTGCCTAGAATGAGGTGACGTTGACGTGGATAAGTAGGAAACTAGGGGGTTTCCGAATTAATTAAATACAATAAATGCTATATAACTTCAAAAAATCACATCTTGTTGTAGAAAGTCACAAAAATAAAATAAAATAACTCAAGTGCTCTATGAATAGAGGAGAATATTATGGACCAAAATTTAAAAAAAAAACATTTATTTAATATTATTTCTTAATTAATTAAAAACTCCAAAGCTTAATTAATCAATAAAT